CTAAGTAATCCAAATCAAGATATCTTATCGGTAGTGTGGGGAGGCGAGAAGCATCAGTTGTCTCAGAATTGACGAGATATTTTGATGATAATGATGATGAGTGACAACTGGCATATAATCTGGATAAAAACAGAGCTTCTTGTGGCTTGCGCATAGTCGTATACCATCAAACCATTTACAATTGGTTGATCTCTGAGTAGTAACCAATATAATGTTTGTGTAGCCCTTTAGTGCAAACCGAATTGTATTGATTAAGTTGCAATGTTCCCATTAGTTTTAGTAGTTCGAGATCATATACATCTTGTTGAAGAGGGTCAACTAGCATGAAACCTACATCCAATACCAGTTTCTTGGCGTTTGTTTTCAAACACCTTATCTCGAAAGATAGTGTTCACGCAATCAGATAAACAGTTAATATGCAATGTAATCGATAGAATTTAGTCAGCACTAATAAATTGACAACATAATGTCAGTTACTACCACTATTTAGTGATCAGTTAGTATGAATGTGTAAAAACGTGCACATACAGACATTTAAACTAACATTCGAAAGAAAAAGTGGAAAACACATTTGATCGCAATCTCACATCTCTATGGTCCAAGGTGGATGGAGGCGAATGGATGAAAATTATGAAACAAGGTTTATTGGTACCTCGTATAAATCAGCAAGAAGCAACACTACAAGCTCGAGAGAAATCATATTATTTGTCACATTCAAATCCGAGTTGTCCAGGCTCACAGTCTGTAATGTCGCTACTATTCTCTCTATTATTACTTGAATAATCATTATAGTAACGATAATAACCGTGAATATTTTCATGCATAACACCTTTCTACTTTAAACAATAGGTAATAAGTTGCAGTCTAATATTAGGGTTACTAATATTTGTTACAATGTAGAACAACATTGGAATTTATGACGTCAAAATAAAACAAAAAACCACATTGCAGATTCTTAATAAGCTCTATACATTAAGTGTTTGAGACATTGAATAGTAGATCGATCTCTAGACCCTCCCCCCCCACAAACTTTGACACTTGAACTTCGCACGAAAACCAGAGCGAAAAACGTTTCAGTCTCAAAGTTAGTTTAATTTAGAAAATGAAATGTGTTTTTGCAAGGTGTCATCATCTAAACCTAACCCTAAACCTTAACTGATAAAACGATTAAGAAAAACTGTTGATAAAAAAATTAATGCATTTAAATTGAAAGCGGTTCTTTAAAATCATTCGATAATGAAAATCACTAACAAAGATAGACTGCCTAAATTCATCACATCTATGTGTCCTTACCAATATAACTTTTCCTGTTTAGCAAGTTAGATAGGTCATAAGTAATTGTATAACAGAATGCTATAAGGATGCGTTGAGCAAAGGATAATCAAGATATTAAGATTGATTAGCCCAGGATATATAAGTTGACTCGGATAAAACTTTTAAAGTTATTTACTATAATCCATTAAATTTACCACATAGTTTACGGGTTCATTTTTTACCCAACGCTGAAGCTATCACAATACACATACAGAAACCTAACCTGTATACTGAAAAGCTTGTAGAGCACTGATTCTACAAACTTTGAAACCTCTCTCTGTATCTTAACCATAAGCAAAAGTCATATGCTTTATCAAATCTAATTTTTCGTTCACTTGATTGTTTATATATGGATAGATAGATTACTAAACAGTAATGATCCTTCACTCTATTCACCCTTCAACTAAATATCTGAAAGGAATTCTTCCTTATACTTTTGTAATTATAATAATTCCGCTAAAAACGCGGTAGATTTAAGCGAAATTGTCTTTCTTTGTTAATGTTGTTATTATTATTATTAGATAAAATGGTCACTATTATAGTCATCATTATCATTTAAATCAGTCATAACCCAGACAGAAATTGACATTAAAAAACAACAACAACAACATAAGAACAACTAACTAGTAACTACATCATGAATCATACATGATTCACATGTAATATGAATAAGCATGATTTTTGCGACAATTTATGTTAAATTAGAAAAGCATAACGCACACAGCATCAATAACTTCCCTACTTAATAATAATAAGAATAGCATCGATAAAAGGAAGTAATTTTAAAGCATTACTACAATTGTTTCTACTGTCACTCTCGCTATCACATATAAACATGGGAATAAAAATTTTAATTTGAGAATAAAGTTTGTTTATACATATATATTTTAAAGGTGATTTTTGTCATGAATATATATCAGTCAGTCAGCTACAACGTAGGACCAGGTAGATATATGCATCCATCCAAGTTGCCACACCTCATTAGCAAAACAAGACGAACATCAAACTCATAGTACTTACTTCAGTGGTGGTAATATATAAATATTGCATATAAAGAGAAAAAATTAGATCGAAGAAAGAAAGATATAATGTAATTCTAATCTCACAGTTTAAGGGAAGACAAAGACGCCATTGTGATCGATTCTAAACCATGTCACACACAGTCTATAATCATTGGTTACGATGGTCACGCGGACACCAACCAAGTAGTCTGCATCTACCGACATGAGTCACACCAGAAGTTAGTGAATTCAAGCACTGATGCCACGTTTTGGTATGGCCGCCCATAACTTTCTTCCAACCACCCATAACACTAGTCAGCATTGCGCGTTGTGGCAATCGGAGTTCAGGCATACGTAATACGTCAACCAACCATCTCAGTCAACGAAACTTCACGACCTCATCAACTGATTTACCATCATTCACCAATACCCATAAATATATATCAACTGTCAAGTCAGACAGTTGTTTCATCTTAATTTAGGACTAATCATCAGTACGTATCCACAACGCTGTTAGTACTGTTAGGTTTCACAGACTGAGATGCTTTTAGAAGGGGTCGAGTAGGAATTCGCTGAGGTTGAATGTTTCACATCTACTTAATTTCCAACACAAAACGCTACTGTTATGAATTCCAATTGGTAAATAGATTGCTTACAACTAATATGATTGAGGTTCAATAATTATAAAACGCTTAATTTTATCAAGCTGTTTATGAGAGTCCTAATGATTCTAGCTGGCTGGCCAAACTAAAATAGGTGGAGTGGGGTTCAAACCTACAACCGATCGATAGAAAGCCTAGTGAATTCACCAATAACCCCACGTTCCACTGTGTAAAACGAGTTTGAATATGATCCAAGTTATTATGTAAATGATTGTTTTAACGACTTACAATTAATATACAAATCGAACCATTTGTATCGATGAAGGAAAACAGCGCGAACGCTACGTTAATTGGTTTTAATTTTCAAAAGTGAAACTGAAGCAGCGCTTGTGTATAATGATAACCACCAAGTAGAGTTGTAAACTAACATTATCTAAAACATGTGTTAGTTATACCTACTCGACGTCCAATCCTCACTAGCATAACAGTAATTTGGAGAAAAAAAAGAGTTAGGAACTGTCAAATTTAGGTATGGGATCAGATTTCTAAAACTATAAGGTCGTATATCGTAGGGACAGACAAATGGAATCTTTGTAACTTTTTAACGTCTAAATAAAGGTACTCAAACTACAAAACTACAAAATGGAAAAACAAACACACTCAATGTGTAATTCTTTATGATAACCTAATTTATTAGAGAAAGGACGTCCATTTTAGTCAAAGCTAAATAGCATACATTTAGTCTGGAATTTAATGATACTAGTTGAGTGAAACAGGATTTGAATTTACAATGAATCAGTTGAAATATATATGCCTAGTTTATTTAAGTGAATACATTATTCAATCATTGGATAAATAGACTGATACAAACAATTTCAAACTGTTACGCACATAAGAATTGTTACCATGAAAATGAACATGCAGAATAGTAACTAATATCTAAACGTTATAATTTACAAAAACATGAAACTAAATAGTATATCATATCCAATTAATCAATGTGTTGGATTTATTTATCTACCTGCCTACCTAAGTAAGTACCTACCTGTTAGATAAATGAAAAACCGAAAAAGTCGAATGAATTTCGATTTATACCACAGTCGTGAATAATTTAGATTAGAGTACGAACACAACGGTATAATGCAAATAATAATAACACATAAATAACAGAATAAATATGATATGATGTTTTATGAAAGTTATATGATCATTACAGAGTCTATCCACCATATAAACACAAGTGTTTAAGCTTTAGTAACAGTTCAATACTTCTAAAATCAATCTGTCGTGGCTTAGTAGTATCAGAAAGATGCTTCATATAATCGGAAATGCACAATCAGTGCAGTTAGAGGAGTAAAAGAGGTTTTCACATTCCGGTTGTCTACATCAAGGAATAGTATTTCTTCATAGGAGACCAGAAGAAGGGACTGGTTCAGAGTGGGTGTAGAGTTCTGGAAGTGTGACCGCACAGCCCAAGGAAGAACTCCTCAAAGTAGGTGAGACTTTTGTAATGTGTTAGCTCCGTGCCTCGAAAGGTCTTACCACTTGCGACCAAATCAGCGAGGTAAGGTGAGACGTAACATTTCTTGCGCCAAACTTTTCCAGCTCTCTTCCTTCTGTTGGGAAAAGACAATATCGTTGAAGATGCTGGGAAATACCTTACTCTCATCACACCTCAGTACAATTAGCAGTACGACTCCCCCTCGGACAATGAATATTTTGCTTTTAGTCTTACTGTTCCCCAATTGACCAGGTTGAAAAAGTTGGACCTAAAGAAGTAATTGTTCCACCCAACATAGCTCAGCCAGGCCATTAGGATAGGCAAGCCCGATCAGCAAGTAAAGATAGCAACAACGGTTGGGGAAATACACAATGAAAATTCGCTTCATTTTACCTTCACCTGTCTCTGAATTGAAAAAAATAAAATAAAAGTACTGGCGTGATATTTTCATTATCTGTTCTAATTGTAGCACCAGTTCAGTAACATTTTTAAGAGGAACAAAATACTACTCAAACCATCAGCTAAATCAATTTTTTTTTAAACTGAGAAAAATAAAACATGTATGTACTACACAAAACTTACGTCGGTGAACGTTGTAGAAGGCGCTGAATAAAGTCAATTGAATCGGGTGAACGATTATTAAAAAGGAATCAGGATACGTAATTGTATTATGAGTAATATTTTGCATTGTGATGTATTTATCTTCACCAAGAAATGGAGAGATTCCAGTAAGTAGATAATATGTAAGAACCCCAACAGACCTGATAGTAACCATAAAGAAAACAGTATGAAATTAACTGAAACATAATTAAATATTACTGCTGACGCATTTGAGAAGGGGGAACTGGACTGAAAAAAATCAAATGTAAAACGATCGGCAGACAATTCTGGATATCAGTATTGAATTTACCAGTACTAAAAAACAATCTGTATAATACATCATGAAGGAGCTTGTTTTTTAACATTAACTGAAGCATGAATCGTTTGGTGCTACAAGTTATAAACGCTATCAACAGAGCATAAATTGTTGACCAAGATAAAATATATGATATTGCTGAGTATTGGAGTGTGTTCGGTATAGGCTTACGGTACTTATTAATTAGAAAACGACCAAGTTTATTCTAATACGAACGTGTCTCTACGACAGACTCAACGAAACGGCAACAAACACACCCACTACAATAATATTCAGTTGCGAAGGGACACAGAAAAAGGTTGAGAGTGCAGTAAAACTTGTTATTCAAACAGACAAACTGAAATAAAACCACATTGTGTATATAGTAACGAAAACATAACCTTGGAGCAAATATAAAATTAGTTAGCAACCAATCAGAAAGGTAATGGAAAAATATGAGTTAGAAAAATTGTATTCGGGATTATCGTTAAATGAAAGAACTTAACATTTATAAACAAAAACTGTGCAACATATGGTCTCTTTAATAGACAAAGGGATGGGATCACATTCTATTAAATTCTCAATGCTGACTTCGTTAAAAACGTATAACTAAATGCCAAAACATTACGTTGTACTCCGAAATATTAAGCTAATCATTCCTTAAAAGATAACTAGCGTCGTGATTCTTAGGACTTGGAGCTAATTCAACTTAAGTAACCGAATATTTTTAAAGCATTGTTAAGAAAATAAGCGACTCGACATGGTGGTGCAAACTGTTTGATGACTGAAATTTAGGGACATTTAGCAGTATAGACTAGGGTCTATGATTCATACCTGTGATCCCTCAACATCATAGCAAACCTGTAACATTGAATGAATTTAATTATCTTCCACAGATGTGACTAACCTTTGATGGCTGTAAATAATTACCAGGTGAATTTGACCATGCTTTACATGAAATTAACAGAAACCCTTGAGATCCATGTTTGGGACTGAGGCGTTAAATGATGCCTTCTCAACTTTCCTACAAGGTATACGTAAGCATGTTAAAGAAAGACGTCAGCAAAATGATGACCATTCTGAGAGCCTTTGTAAACAATACAACGGTTTAGAAACCATTTCCCTCTATATAAAGTCAAAATATTGCTCCAAAACAAGTTTGCATTAATATTTAATTAGACCATATCGAGTGTAGTAGTTGAGCACGTTACCTTACTATTTATCTATGAATATTTGTAACCTAATAAAATTTTTATTACAACAATGCTCCCTAACTTTGATAAATATCCTCTCAAAACTGTTTATAGATTAATGATGAACATCATGTAAGAAATTTTGTTAGTTAATAAATCATTCTTAGTAATCTTACGCATACAATTTATACCCAAATGATTAAAGTGTAAATATAATAAAATGTTATATGTTAAGTGTTGAGCTTTATCGAGACACATTAATTTTAAAGTTTTTGATGAATAGAGAATTGTGTATGATAAAAACAAACAAAAAATATGTTGTATCCAAGACTAGATAAATCAACATTGAAAAATACATTTCAGTATAATAAAATGGTAATATGTAATGTATAATTAGTGGTAGCAATAACACTCCTTTTCCTTCTCCTCCTCCTCCTCCTCCTACTACTACTACTAATAATAATAATAATAATGGTAATAATAATAAGCGATTGTAAATAATAATACTGAAACAAGTGTAACACACCTTCTAACGATTCATCCTAATCTATCATCATCAACTATTTTTAAAAAACACTATTCAACTTGGTGAATTCAATCCATCTCATGTTTCTTTCACAGTTTTTTTTTGTGAAAGGAAAGTTTTAGATTCATTAAACAGTCATTTTTAACAACAATCATGATTAGGCATAATTATACTAACAAAGAAACACAAATATATTCGTATACAATAATAAAGTGACTTAACACTCATGCATACACACACACACACACAAAATCAAAGATACAGAGAAACACCAAAAAACAATTTGACGTTTATGACAGATAAATGGTTGACCTGGAAAGGAATGTAGACTTTGAAAATGTTTTGGGTATATTTTTCACAACGAAAGTAATTGTTCACAATTTGCTTTAAACAAACACATAGATACCGCTTTGTTCAAAAAAAAGAAAAGAAAAAGAAGGATAAAGAACGTAATATAACTTTTACAAAAAGTAAGAAACCGTACTGAAGGAATATTGGAATTTAATGAATGTGTCATTTTCTCATTAGTTTTGATCCTATAATTTTTCATCATGAATTTCGAGCACATTCTTCAAAGAGTAAATCAATTCATCATGTCTGTGTGTGTATGTGTGTGCATTTTGATCATCAATTATTTAATAAGTAAATGTAATATATGTAAATGTTGAATCTGACACGAAACTGTGGATGTATATAGCTTAAGTTGGTACATTTCATATCAGAGCAACGAGAAAAAGCGAAAGAAGAGAAGATGAGAGAAGGAAAATGCAAGAGAAGGTGAATGAATCAAAACAATAAAAATGATAATAAACTCAATATCTGAAAATCAGGAAACATTGAACAGTAATTTAAGCTGTCCATATTATTTATTGATCAAATATATATTTAATATAAATAGAGCTTTGAGACGTACTATCCGAGTTACTCAAATCATTCCAAGTGGAGTGAGATTCGAATATTTGATCTTAGTTAAAAGTTGAATACAGTTCAAACACTAGGTTTCCATTTCATTCTCTGTTATATGCTTGAATTAAGCCTTTTTTTATTGCTTACAATGAGTACACGCCATCAGTTTACTGTTAACTTGTTTCTAAATAAAATATAAAAGCTTTAAGATAAGAAGATTAGATCAACAAAGTTAGAATACACACGTGTGAATTAATAACATAAAATAATATCTATAATGCATCTATACTATATAAATACGCTAACCAAAGGTTTTCGTTGTAATGTCTGATTAATAAGAAAGCAAAAAAGTAACTCACTGAAAGATAATAAAGATTTTCACCAGTTTCATTCATTCAACTCGATCATATCTCACAACAAACAATACAGATTCAGATTAGAAGAATTGAGTGGAAATCCTACACAAACCAAATAGTAGTGTTTACATCACTGACATTAGGATCTAACACTTTTCGATTAACATTTATTAACATAGTTTTAGACGATATTTACTAATAAAGCATTCTTTTCATATACTGATCATTTGACGTACAATTTTTTCTTATTTTATCTCCTCTAACCTTATGTAGGTGACTTTCACAACATTGTGTATGAAGTTTTACTTTCTAGAGAATAAATCATGAAATAATCATATTCTTATAGTTTACCATGTAAATAGAAGCCTGAAGACAGTTATCAAATGTTATAAACCATAATTAATACGAAATTCAGTACAAACTACATATCCAAATTCATTTATATAATTCAGTTGCTATTGTTTGTGTTGTGCTGGGTGATGAGCGCTGAGCTTCAAAATACAACTAAAAGCATTCATCTAAGTTACAACCTTTCCCCGATTATTTCAAAGACTATTCTGTTGATGTATTCATTGTATTTCCTATCAATGATATAAAGGTATTTTCACATCCCACGATGTCAATTAACGATGAACACACCCTACAAATAAACAGTCAATTTAGGAAGATAAAATTTAAAAGAAAAGTCCCGATTTAAGTCATAAACATTGTAAATTAATAATTGGATAATCAATTTTTTACTATTTTAGTGATCACGATAGTAATAATAATAATCGTTTTATTAAACGTCAAATTATTGAATACTGTAAGAAAATCGATACATAAAATTTCAACAAATTATAAATAAATTTCTTTAATGCTATATGTTTAAGTACAAACAACAATGGCCCCCGAATGCCCTAATATGGCCGAGAGTGGGGAGAGTCCGCTCTCCCTATCGAAATGCTCTCACATGGCCACACGCATATAGCCTCTGCCAGGGAAGTCCTACTCACTGCCTTCTTGTGAAGGGGGTGTTGTTTACGAGAATGAGAGGACGAAAAGCGAATGTCCGACACTTTAACCGGATTCCAAACCAATGGTGCACATGGGCTCCAGTATCCTGCGGGAACAAATGGCGTATGAACCAAATGTTGGTCACCGGCTTCCATGGGACCGCATCTCCTTACTTTGCTCCACTGCCTTGTGGATCATCCTAGCACGAGGCTCCTTAATTTAGATCAATTTGTGAATTCAACAGTAAAAGTACTGCAGTCTTCACAAATCCCCATACCGATAATAATATTTTTGACCAGTTCCGTGTACTCTAGAATATTATTTCTCTTTATAATAGTATCAAATATATTATAGCTAGATATGATATTATAGAGGATCAATTATGTTGTTGTTTTTTTTTAACAATCTTTCTGTTTAACAAAAGGATAATCAATAGAGAGAGAGGGAAAGAGAGAAATACTCGAACTATTTATGTATGTTAATGTGCACCCAATTTCAACACAGTCAGTTAAATTTTTAAAAAAAACCAACCTTTTTTAAAATAGGAAAGATGATACGGCGAGATAATCAGAAATTGGGATTTCTTCACCAATGATTTGACAATATCTGATTGGCCTACTGTAATCAAAGACGTACTCAATTGTTTATTCGATTTATTTTTCATTTGTGTAAATATTTTAATCGACTTTTCTGTTATTAATGTCATTTGAATTGAATAATTATGAATGTAAATTGTATGTACTCTCAAGGTATTTATAAAAATACTTACAAATTACGAAAATGATAAATACTGGGAAATTCTAATAAAAACACAATAGTTCTTAATGTATGTTTCTTAATATTTATCATTTTAATTGACAAGAATTTATATATCGTATATATATATATA